AATTCAATAACGTTTTTGAGCTTTCACTGACAATACTTATTAAAGATAATTTTAAGAGTGAAAACTGTCCATATTTTCATGTCATGATATGTAAATTAAAAATTTTTATTTTACGGTGATAATCTTGTTTTCATGTGCCCAATAATGCATAATTTCATTTGATAAACACGTTTAGATTGAATGGTAATTTATAATCAGTCACAAGAACGTCGAATCTGAATCACTTGAAAAAACACGGGGGTGCTTAACTTTTTTCCAGGTTTATAGTATACAATAACAATATGAACTCTACCCATCTCTGGATTAAAGTCACAGTAAAAGGTCAAAAATAACTCAAATTTTCTAAAAGACCACCAAAAGCAAAGTCTGAACCTACAAGGTTCTGTTTCATTATTTGAAAATGTAATGTAGTTTCTTGGATTTTTTTCAGTTTCTAATTTTTTTACCTAAGTAGATTAAACCTTTGACCAATTTTACAGTTTCTGTTTAAGATGATATTACTATTAATAAGAAGTCTTATTTCATGGTAAGATAAAATATTAAACTTATCTTAAACTTATCAATAATTAATTTTAAACTCCTACACTTTCAAAAATGTACAAAACAAAAATAAGAGTACTAAATATCCCAAATGTTGTATAAAACTTAAAATAACCCTAAGTATACTTTTCAAAAAACAAACACAAACTACTCTCATTTTTGTAGATACCACTCTATACCTCTTATAAGATACTTATATTTTATACTGTTTTTATTTCTAAAACATAATAAATTGCCCTTGTCGATATATGTCCATAATGTAAGAAATCTCTTAACTGAACAAACACTTGTTTTTATAGAATACAAGCTGTGTTTATTCACTTTGTTATACAACCTTTAAGCACCAAACCAAACAGACTAACCATGATTAAATTTAACCATTAGAATTATACCCTTTTCAAATGTGACAAAGTTGATATTATTATTATTATTACTGGAAACAACAAAACCAGCTAAGCAAAAGATAACACATTAATATATGTAACAGTTAGGGAACAAAAGGTCACATTAAGCTAAACAACTTTCTGACTTTCTGTTTACTTAAGGGAATTCAAATTTCAGGATCACATAAGCATTGCTGACCAGTTTTCCTACCAGAAGAAAACGTGAAATGGAAGAGGACATATGAATGTGGCAAAACTAGTTTCTCTAATATAAAGACTTCTGAGAGTTTGTTCCATTTGTTCTAGCACAAAACTTTTGGTAGTATGACAATAACTATAATTTAAAAAATGTCACCTCAATTGAATCACAAGACCATGGTGGCCTTATAATTCTATATTTTTGTATTTAAATTTCCTTTTGGGTCAATAAGTTTTATTCAAATTACCTTAAAGTACTTGTCTAATCATGTGAAGTGAGCAAAAAAGAGCAGAAAATATTTCCTTTGTTCTCCTTATTAAGACATGTGAGCCCTGTAGTATTTCTTCAGGTTGGCATTATTAATAACAAGAAATCAAACCAAGCTAAAAATAAAAATAATACACTAGTAGGCTGTAAATAAGATTGAAATATTTTCAGCACCATCCCTTTCCTGAAAAACTAAGCACAGTTGGGAAATTTTATTTTTAATTAAGGAATCCACAAAAAAAAAGTAGGAATTACTAGTAGGGTCACTTGGAGGCCCGCAGCAAAGGAAATAAATCTGGAACATATTTAAATTTATATGAAAAAAAGAGATATGTTAACAGGCTTTTGCCTTCATAACATTAACTATGACCTCCTATGGCAGTTGTCAGTCTTGACACAATATCTCCACTTTCTTCAGAGTGTAGACTATATGGCATTTTTTCATAAATTATTTATGTTAATTTTTAACTGTTTTGAAATAAGTCTTCATTACTTATATATTTCATTTTACAAGATTCTTGACTTTCAATCAGGAAGAATTATTTTCAATGATTCCATTCCAGCTCAACCATGTGTACAAAAGAAGCCTAAACTAGTTAAAACAATACTGGATCACATATGACATTTAGATGATGCTATGTAATCACAGGCACTGATAGGCACTGGCACATGGGGCCCGTACCTTAATTCTAACTGACAGTACCCCATATTGCCAGTTGGTGTCTTGAAAGATCAAAATAGAAGACCATGATCAATATCATACTGAAAAGTTTTGTGCCCATGGGCCTGAGCCCTGATTCTTTTAAGTACCTAGCAATGTCTCTGTATACAATTCTTTATAGTTTTCCATTGACTCATGAAAGAATAAAAACATTAATTTTATCATAAGCATATGTAAAAGCATTGAAGGAATGGACAAAAAGCAACAGATTGAATATAGTAGTGAAGTCCACTGATTTGGATCCTTTTTTGTATGTTTTGGGTCTAAGCCCTAACCTGGCTGGCATTGACAGTGTTCCAACCACTTCTTCAGCAAAATTTAACATTGAGAAGTGAATGCCTAGGAGATGAATCAATAGATTCATAAATCAATCTTTTTAATCTAAATATTTCTTGTTCATCAAATAATTTACAAAATAGCTCAAGTTTTATAGGCAACTGTACACAAAAAGAACACAAATACAAGTTGTGAAAATGGACTTAGATGGTTTTTAACAATTGTAAAATACATTCTTACCTTTAACTGGAGGACTTTATCTTGCCACTTATTTTCTAGTTCTTGTGTTATTTCTTTTTTCAAAATTTCAATATACTCTTCTTTTTCTTTCTGAACTCTAAAAAATATAAAATTTGTTAGAACTACCTATTTGTTTTGTTTAAGGCAAAGCTACTATTATTAAATGCTATCTGATACCATCCCCAAATTGGAACTGCTGACCAAAAGGAAAGTAACAAGCTGGCAGCACTCACCACCAGCTCTTGGGCTACTCTTTACATTACAATGCCCCACAGTTGGAAAAGTGAGTAGGCTTGGTGTCAGATTTCAATGCCAAGATCCACAGAATGCCCTAACTATCAAGCCATGCCAGACAAATAGAACTAACTACATTACAATTTGGTGCTGTTTTTCTGAATACAAACCTGTTACAAGTAACAGTAAATGTTTGCAACAAAAGAACTACTTTGATAATGGACTTTACAACAATAACACTACTAAAGAATTCATAGTTTTCTTGAAGTATAAAATTACTGTAATACATTAATATATTTACCCCTTGATGAAATAAAATATATATCTGAATAAATATGTAAGTGTAATAATTCATTTTAGAAACTGTTGAAACCAATTACTGTCTAAATTTTCAGCAAAGTTGTAACATTGATAAAATAAGCAGAACCAAAAACGTGTAGCCATTTAACAACAAACACCTATATAATAAATTCTAAAAATTTTCTCTACTTACAGATAAAAATGTTAAGTTATCATTTATGCATTCTTACTTTTAAAAAGTGTATATCATTCTCAGGTTCACTGATTTCCCTTTGAGTAATCAGGTAGAACTCGCAATATAATAAGAGGTTCAACAGAAGATGTTTTGCACAATAAAATGAGATTGGACACAATGTAAAACAGAATGAAAACAATCTTTAATCAATCCAAGATACAATCAAAAGTATGAGTTTGTTGACACAGGAAATGCCTTTACTGGAGGATAAAACTGGATGAAAATCTGTGAAGTTCCAAATATTCTGTGTGAGGAACTTCAAAATCCATTCCAGACTGACAAAACATAGCATTATATACACAGTTTTGTTATTCAATGTTATTTTTCTTAGGGCATGTGTGCTATCAATGTCATTGTTGGTCTGAAGAAAAATAAGGATGGAAAGGATTGGTGTTTACCTGTACATATCTCCTACTTTCAGCAATCTTTTTTCATGAAGAAGTGCATGTGATATGATAGAGTAATGACCTGGAACAACTAAGGTAAACGAAACTTCATCATTTCTTTAACTAATTTACAACTTTAACTCTTTTCCATACAGGGTCAAGCAATGTGACCAATCTTGTAACCATAAAGTAACCTTCAGACTTTCCACATTGTAACATTTAATATGTTTTTGTGTGTCTTCACAAAATTTGGCAAGCTTTCAGTAAACAGTTTTTTAATTAAGTACTTTTGCTAAAGATTTGTCTAAATATATTGAATAAAAAATATTGAATGTATTGTGATTTTCATGTTAAGATAAAAAATACTTTCCGTCATTTGCAAATTTCTTTTGTGTAACCTCTAAAACCTCCTAAATGAATGTCTGTTATTTTCTCTACCTTAACTACATACAGATTTGGTTGGTTTGACTGGCCTTGTAACTACCATAAAAATATGAAATAAACTTAAATTACATATTGTAACAGATAATAAAGTAGTTTGATTAAATTTTGAATGTAGCTCTGTAAAAGGCTATGACATGCACACACTGACCTACCCATAGTAAAGGGATTAAAAATCTGTATACACTTATTTGCATGAAAATGTTTTACAACTTTTAGGAGAAAGGTGACTTTAACCCTATTATGACTGGTGAACAGCTTTCTGGTGTTGAATGCACACTTGCATATCAAATATTTCTACTTAAACATATTTTCGAATTGTAATTTTGCAACATTTATTTTATGCTATTTTCATGGTTAATACTTCAATGGTAGAGAGCAAGTATAAGTAATTGATGAATGTGAAATAAGTCAGAACTACTTGGATTAATAATAATGATAATAAAAAAAAACTTTTATTTGTTATACATTTTTCAATTATTACTTTCATTGTATGTAAGAGGTTCTATAAACAGATGAGAAAAATAATAATGTATTACTAGGACAAACACAGACACAAAAGTTCTAGTTTCAATGAAATCCTTACTCTATTAGATATAGTTATAAGATTTTAGGCACAGAATTAAACAAAACAGATATGAGACCAAAGATAGTATTCTTATTGTTTCTCAAAATATAGAACAATAACATTTCAAAAAGCTTCAATCTCAAAAACCTTATACAAATACTAAATCAAATTAAATAATTTTTCACGTATAAACTAAATGTTACATAGAAATTGTGTACCAAATTTCATGCACTTTGATTAACTGAAAGTGCATAGGGTTGGTCAGGAGAGAATTCACCATACTAAATAAAAGAAGCAGAAAATACCTAGTCTGGATAATACATATTCCCTCTCCTCTTTGCCTTCAGGTTATCCTTGGTCATTCCTAATTTTAAAATTTATAATAGTTGAAATTACTTGCACATTTGTCAAGAAACCATTGTTACTCTTGCCCCTGTAAAACACTTACACATCATTACATACAACTAGATAGAACAAAAACATATAATGAAAACTGAATTCCATAATACATATCTAAATCACAATCATACATTTTAACAGGTAAACCAGAATCAATAATCAAGATACAATGTAATAACTTTCATTTCAAATCCCATAAATATCATTCTGAGAAAAAAAACATTTAACTAATGTTTATGACATTAATATACTCAAAACTATTTATTAAAATTACCCCTTACAGATTATACAAAACAAAAAATAAACCCTCCAACTCAGATATAAGTACAGTACAAAATTAGATTAAAATAATCAGAAACAAAATGTTTCACAATAATGCAGATTATCCATAAAGTCTACAAAAAACTTCAGAGTTCATATCACTACAGAAAAACCAGTAGAGCCAATGACAACATAATGCAAAAAAAAACAAAAAATAAATACAGATTTATATACATTTCAACACTTATTAGTAGTTCAGAACATTCTTACACAGAATACAACATCAATACTCTTTAACATCAATTCAATATTACACTAAATTTGAAAAAGAAAACATTTCTAAATATAAGGTTGCAAAATTAAAAATATACAATAAATGAAAGAAATACTCTTTCAAACCTACAAAATTAAACTCCTTCAATAATAAAACTCTCATTTAAATACCCATTTAAACAAAAATAAACACACGATGAAAATAGCCTTTTAATAATGATACAAAGAAATCAAATCAAACTGATTAAATTTGTTAACTGTAAGATTAAAATGTACTATCAAATGTCCTTTAACATAAGTCAAGTATAATGTATCACAGAAAGACCATGAATTGAGTATATACACACACACACATATTACATGATTACCCCTTTATACAAGACATGACACCAAACACATCAAAACACCGTGTAATAAATACATAAAAAATAATAATGTTAATAAGCCCTTAAGATGATAGTTAACATTGAATGAAAGTGAATCTTTACAATACAAGGCATAAAGAAGGACATGGAAACACAACCACTTATTGATCTTCCTTCTCCACAGTCTGGACTGAGCTGCAATCAGCAATATTGTCTGCAGGAGCTGTGAGGTATGCTGAAGTAAGCATGTCAGAGTGTCCTTCTAACAGAAGATTCTTTTCTACTGTCTTAGTTTTTACCTAGATAGTTTCTGGATCCCTGAGTCAATGACTAAACAAGATACACCTTTACATGTAAAAATATGAGTAATCAAGCAAAACAATAAATGTGCAAGACTTCTGGTCAAAGAAAAGTTTGTCAAAGGGATCAAACATGTAATGATTTTGATTGGTCAAAAACAGTATGAGCTCACCAGTTACTTTTATCTCTTAAACAAAGTTCACTACCTGCCAATTATTTTAGTGTCAAAACTGAACACTATTTTTTTATAGTATTAACAAAAATATTGGGTATATTATATTTTCAAATAATGCCTCACAGGTATCTCTTCAACATGATCCATTACCTGAAAATTTTTTCAGTGGTGAACTAAAAATACTCTTACTAGTATTAACAAAAGTATTGGGTACACCTTATCTTCACAATGCTTCGTAGGTCAATATTCTTAGTTGACTTCATATCTCAAAATTTTAATGTTCAGATCAAATCCTTTATGTTCAGTCATATTTTGTTTAATAATTGTTTTCTTTGAGTATCTGATTCATTCTTGTCAAACACTCATGAATGACTTTACATAACACCTGTGTATGTGTGCATCACCACACACACACACACACATTTATATTGGCTTATATATATACACCTGTCATTAAATATACTGCTAGTGTTAAACTGCCTCCAGCTCTCAAGTTCATTACTATGTAAACCAATACAAATTATCTCTACTAACAATGTCATTACAGTTACATTATTGTAATGCATTGCTATCTAAGAATCAATAAACTCAAACTGATCTGTTGACATCACAAATCATCACTAGCAGAATTCATCTAAATCAAGACTTTTCAGCAAAAATTATTGTAGCCAGGAATATTTGTGCCATCACTACAGTATATATCAACAGAGAGTCAGATATGGGGTAAATACCATATTTAACAGTAAAATATATTTAATGACCTAGATGGCCACAAATACCAGTACCCAATCTATCATGATATTTTATCACTACTCATAAATCAATCTGTTACTATAGTTTACATTACAGAAAAATAAATATAAGCAAAATCCTGTGAATCCAAGGACAGTTTCAGACTACCCGATTCATATTCTGTGCTCATTAAGGACACAACTCTGCCACTACATATATAGGAGTTAAAATATTCCTAAACTGAAAATGTATTCCTGATGGATACTTCCTCTCACAAAAGGTTTTCTCGATTAGTACTGCCCTCTATCATTGCAAATTTTCAACACTTGCCACTACCCTTCCACCTCCTGCTTCTGCATATCCACATGTATATGATTGTGCAGCAATTCTCCACTAATAGGAGTACAACACAAACCCTATTGTAATCAGCACCTTCTCCACATTTGCACTCGTTAACCCTACCTGCCCAGGCATATCACAAAGTTTTAGTGACTTACATTCAAAATTTTATTAAACTACTAAGATTATTTCTTTATCAGTATAGACAAACTTATAGAGCAAACAGATTTTGGTAACTCCAAACAAAGTAACACTTTTCTATCCAAATAACTTAAAGTTTGCCATTCATAGTTTATCATATTCAATTTAAGATTCATTTCTTGAACAATAAGACAAGAGTGAAAACTGGTAAACCATCTTATTCTTTGATTAATGTACAGTTAAAGAAATATAATAAATATTTTATTTTTTAATATCATCAACAATTTTTTGTTTGTCGCCATAATGCATGTTTGAAGTAAGACGTGTGCTCAACTGTATATCTAGTGCGAACAATTTTTTATATATTTCAAGGATTTATGAAAGTTAAAAGATAAAGAAACTTGTATTCAACATAGATGTAAAGTTCCTAAAACCTATCAGACAGATATTTTCTCTCAGATGAATTAAAGTTAATATGGAAAGTGTCCCTCTTTACTTTATGATGATAAACTAAGCACCAAACAATTGGTGCATATGTACCTTTCAAGCTGTTTCTGATGATTCTTGTGAGCTTCTTGTATTGCCCACTCAACTGTCTTCTTTTCATGCTCTTGGAACTTTTCCTCCATGTTCTGAATTAAAACTGCTCTTTCTTGGTGGAAACATTTGATCAAAGCTTCTTCAAAAGACTGTTTGTCTTTGTACAAAAGCTGAGACTGAGTTTCTTTTTCTTTCAAAGACTAATTAAAACAAAAACAAATTGCAGTTTTGAGAAATGTTTACAAAACTGTTTTCATATTTCATTAGTATTTTATACAACTAATGTGGAAAGTTTTACATGAATTTTTTCAAATGTTTTTATAATATGAAACATTTTACACCCTCAAGAGTGTAATAAGTAAATCAAGAGAGTAAATCAGAGCTGCAGAGTTACCAATAATCACCCACTCCTAGTTGTAAGTTACAATGTTGAATACAGATGTTTTGTAAATCAGGCCAATAGTGCCTAAAACAGTAATAGTATCAGTACAGAAGATGTCATTAGAGCTGAGCAATTAGTAGTATTTGCTAATTTAAGTAATCGATAGGCTCATTAATCAAATATACTCAATCGATTAGTACACTACACTCCATGTAACCTGTAAAAGCAAAAAAGGGTATATACTTTCGCCTTAACTTTTTCAATAATTGCATTATTTTAACATGGCATTAAGTCTCCTAGTTTTCTTTTATATTGATTTGTTTTTTTAAATAATATCAAATCACCTTTGATTTCATATGATAGACCTCTTTTGAACATCAACATTTGCACATTTGAGAAAAAAATTTTCCCAAAAGTTATGAACAACTTCCTACTTGGCAGATAAATCACTAATGTCAACTAAATACTACCAATGATCACCTTTTTTTGTTTTTCAAACAAACAATGATGACAATTAGATATATTTAAGTAACCAGATAGACAATTTATTAATGTACATTGTTTGAATAGGATAAACATAAAAATGATATTGAGTAAAGTTTTGAGTCAATATAATATCTTGCAATAGCCTACCATATTTACTAAACAGTAATCTTATGTTATTTGATGAAAATAGTATTTTATTTGGTGAAAATAATAAAAAAAATCTCATGTTCAGAAACATTGCAACTCAATAAAATCATAGTATATCAATCAAGAAGTAAAATGCTGTAATTTTAAACAAAGGACCAAACATCAATATACCTTAATTAAACCTTAATGTGATTCCTTTGCTTCATACTACATGTACAGGTGTGTGTGTGTGTGTGTGTGTTTATATATGTGTCTAAGTAAACAACTTGTACCTGATGATGACAAACCTTCTGCAAACATTGTACATTTCTAACTGTATTAAACTATAAATAAAGTTCTTTTTTTACCTATTCAAACTGTCTCTAAACTTTATAAGCTAATCTATCTTATCTCAAATTATCTGATTTCTCATTGAAAAAAAATTTCTCTAGCCTTCAAACAAATATAATCTAACACACAAATACCTGTACAATTAACTATGAAAGAAACATTTAAAGAAACTATAAAAAAACTCTTAAACCTATATAGTTACTATTAATACAAGAGTATAAATTCTTGCTCTATCCAATCATTTTTAAACTTTCGTTATAGCTGTTTTCATAGCTGTGCTTTATTAATAAATGATTAACTACTTGATGTGGCACCATAGCAAGGTTTCAACTAAGACCTGTATGAAAACTAAGGGAAACACTTTAAACCAAGAAATGGAGAATACATTCTCAAGGGATGATAGGTTCTTACTAAAAATAAAATTATTGGGATAGGCAGAAAATTCCAAAATAAACAGATAAGTAGGTTGTTTTGTTTACAGGCAAAACTGTTTTTAGCTGTGAAGAAAAGAGAATATTAACTTTTTAGCCACGGCATAGCGGCTCATAGAATGGCTCCAAGTTTGTTTTTTTCTAGTACAAACTTTTAGCTCATAGCTCCGTCATCTCTGGATCGATTTGATATCTAATTACAGTTTTGGACTCAGGAGGTCAAACCCTTTCAATTAATGTATTTGACCATGCCCAAGGTCTCATAGATTAGTTTACTCTAATCCCAACTAAAAGAATTTCAATTTGAGTGTAGGATGGAAGAGATCATGATGAGTAATAAAATTGAATTGGGTTTAGGTACTCCCCATGCTTGGTATTGCTGGTGCATAAAAATATAGCATATAAAAAGGGAAAAAAAAAGGTCTCATAGATTAATTTACTCTAATCCTGCCTAAAAGAATTTCAAGTGTCATGGCTATTGACGATTCCTTCTTGGTTTCTTCATGAATTACACTAAATGTTAGCATATGAACAAATGTCAATTTCTAAATATTTTAAAGTAAAAATTGTTTAAGTACTCAGAATTAACATACAAGTGTCTTAAAAATTTGTTGTAAAAATATACAAAAAGCTTGAAGAAATCATGTCTTTAGGTACAATAATGTAGGAGTAAATTATTTTGTTCATCCAAACTGTTGTACATGTAAATGCATAAAACGTGTAAGGTAGTACAAAACCTGTAACAATCTAAGAATGATACAATTAATAGTATTCCATGAGTTTCTCCCTACAAATTTCCACAAGACTATTGTACAAAAAACTCCTGAATTTTATTGATAAAAATAAACATATTATCTTGTGATATTTTCAAACAATAAATTTGTATATAATGTTATTAAACTTTATCACCCTCAAAACATTAACAATAATATATATTTTTAAAAAATGACTCCCTTGGACCCTTCCCTTTAATCTGCACCTACTTATACAACACTAAATAATAAATTGATAATGCAATATCACATCTGAGTCATATTTTATGCACATTTTTTAAGCATTTACAAAAAAAAATGTTTGTTTTTGCATGACACCAACCCAAATGTAAAGGATATCTTTATATCCTACGCTGATGAGGATAAAAACTGAAAAATTGAGCATTGGTGTTAGCACATTATAATTTTCCTATACTGAAAATGTATTTCCGATAGGTACTTTCCTACACTCACAAGATTAGCTAATCTTATTTATTGTTGCTCTCTATATATGTGAATTTTTTATTATGCATTCCACAAGCCTTCCTCACCCCCTATTGGAATCAAATGATTCCAACTTGTCTCTCTTGTAAATCTTCATGCGTTACCTATCCACCAATAGAAGAATAATACACTCACGTGACACATGTGACTCCCTCTATGCGTCTCTACCAAACTAACACTTCACAGTTGGGCAGATGACAGAAGCACCTGAAATGAGTGTGGAGGAAAGATGGGAAGTGCGAGAAGAGTGAAGTACCTATCAGAAATACATTTTCAGTATAGAAAAATTATAACATCCGAAAGGATACCCTTCTAGATGAGAGAGTCAAATCTGAAGATCTGGAGGGGGGGGGGAGCTGCACCACTTCTGATCCAGGTATACTCTTTGCCCAGTTGAAGAATGCATAAAAATCACGGCAAAAAAGGAGAGGAGCACATCCTAGTGGGAGAAAAAAGTGGCAGGAAAGTGATCCTTACCAGAGAAAGATATAGTAACTCAATCCCACAATAAAAAACTGGTTAAATGAGGATGTGTCCCATGGTGTAGAGTGGCTAGGGCACAGCAGACAATACTTGGCAAGTCAACTACATAAAAAACCTCATCACGAGGTGCTGACATCTGCGTGAGGGTAGGATAAAGATCACACCATCTTCACCTCAAACCCAAGGCCCGAGGAATTAAGAACTACTCCAATTCCTGGGTATTAACAGGATGAGCTCTGCGCTATTTATCCGGGAATGTGACATCCGGTATCAAAAAGAAGTCTGTCATATGCAATGAATGCCCACAACCATGAAACGGGTCAGGACAATCTAAAGGGCAATAACATCCACATAACAAGATAGAGAGAGGGAGAGCCAAGGACATAACCATAATAGTCCCATGTATCTCAACTGTGACCCACAACACAATCAAGGCATGGCAGGGATGGGCAGCTATCTCCTTCTGCTTTACCCGTGAAGTTCATGGGTGGTATGGTCTAGGATGGGCCAATTTATAAAACAAATATCGTGAGGTTATTCACCTACAACCGATCTTGTGAAACACCCCATTTCAAAGGTGAGCGTGCAGAACCATGGAAAGAACGTACTATTCAATGCTACATACAGTGTTGATTTAGAGTTAAAGAGTACCTGATCAGGCACCACTCGCTACAGAGTGGGATCTAAGTAATGAAGGCATGAAGATTGGGCTCCTGAAAGAAAATAAATTATTAATAAAGACTTACCTAGTGTCAGAGTCGCAACAAAGACTGGAGTATAGCTACAGGTAGAAACGAAAACTTGAGGAAGCCGAAACCATGATATAATGTAAATAATGGGAGATGAACAAGTTAAGGTTGGTCCACATGCTTGATTGTAGGATTTTCTCCAGAGGATAAGAAAGATGAGAAGTGAGGGAAAAGATGAGGTGTCAGATTTGGTAAGAGGTAGGTAAGTGTAAAAGGGGAGAGATCCCTGGATGAAAAGGGTTGCCAAGGGAAAAAGAGATGGGAATGTGAACCAAAAAAGGAAGCCGTGCAGGCAATATAACAAAGAAGGGCATGCACATGACATACAAGTCTATCTGGATTGGGACAAGGATAGAGATACGAAATAGAGGGTAGAGAAATAGGCAAAAAAGGAGGAGTTACCCTCATGAGCTGCTGAGGTTTTAGGGAGGAAAGAACAATCCAGATAAAGGAGAAGATAGATATGGTTGTAAAGTGTGCATGTAATGTTGAATGGAGAACAAGTCATTGACACCCACAAGCCAGGAGGAGAAAGAAATACACCTTAAGGGGCAGATGAAACAAAGGATATGAGGATATAGGTTCAAACAGAGGTAAAGTAAGGGAATGGAGGACCACATGAATATCCTAATCCAGAAGAGCAGATTGTCAATGAAGGAATGAATTAACATGGTAAGGATGGGTGAGAGAAAAATCCTGCAGTAACAGGATAGGCAAAAGGTAGGGGATAAAATTGCCTGAACATTGAAATCGAGGAGACAGAAGACCCACGGTTGAAAAGCCATGTGAAAAACTTGGAGACATCAGCAACAGTAAGGCAAGCAGCCAGAAATCCCTGAGCCTGGGCCCATGTGTGAGAGACCTTCCACTTTTGCTAATACATTTCCATGGAGGAAGAAATGATGTATTGGGCCAAATTAGAAGCTACACAAAGGGAGAAACCAAGGACCAGACAAAAGCCAGGTGAGAAGACAGAGGACATGAAGTGCCGGATGTAGAACCGGTGACCAGGATTGATGAAGAAGGTTGGGTAATAAGGAAAGTGGTACTGGAGGGAATAATTGTAAGTGGAGTAAACGAGAAAACCAGCATTGAGCTGGCCAGTAGGGAGCAATCAGAAGGACCTGGCACAGAGTTGCATGGATCAGGGAAACTACCCAATGAAGTAATCAGGTAAGGAGAATACACACATAGGAATTTGTGTGCCCAATCCTGGCTGAAGGCATCTATAGACAATGCCTAAGGATGAGGAACCGGGGACCAAAATAGTGGTAACCAGTTACTGATGGCAATGGCAAAAGCATCGATGTGAGAACCACCCCAAAGACTGCAAAACAACCGGAAAATGAAAGGATGAAGGGGCCACTCTATCAGGTAAACCTTGTTGGGGCAGGAAAGATGATCTGCCATGAGCACCCAGGACATGACATGCAATTAAACAAATGTGTTGCACGTGGGCCCAATATAGGAGATCCAAACAGAGGAATCTTGACCCGGTGCCACCTTGTTGATTGATATAAGCCACCACTGTGGAATTGTCAGAAGGGATCATTACCAGACAATGTTTGGCAATGAGAAAAAAGTGATCCAAAGCCTGATAATTGGCTAGTAGCTCTAGGACATGGATATGTAAAGACTGTTCATCTAGAGACCAGTGACCCAAAGCCTCCTGGTGATCAACACACTCACCCTAGCCTTAAAGGGATACATCTGTAAGTTCAGATGAGGAAGAGGAAGCAGGACACCTGTCAATGTACGAGTCTTGTCCGGTCACCAAAGTAGGAAATCGTCTACAAGGGAAGGAGGAAGGGTGATGGGAGCATCCAAGGGATCATGAGCAAGGTTCCATTGATTGTGTACAGTCTACTGAAGGGAAGCATGGGCAGGGCGAACTGACAATTCCATAGAATGGAGTCTGAGAAGAGAAGATTGGGCCCGACTGAGGAGAGTGTTGAAAAGAAGACACCCAAATGTACAAGGTATTGGGTAAGACTCAGGAAGGACTTCTCTAATTTCATCAAACAGCCTACCCGAGCAGCTTCGAGAAGGAGCTGAGGAGGATGACAGGCTGCCTCCTGTTCAGAATAGGCCAGAAGTAGCCAGTCATCTATGTATCCACGGCATGAAGGTGAAGAGCAAAAGCTCATACCACCTGACAGAAAATGTATGTAGCTGAAGCCAGCCCAAAGGGTAGGGCACAAAATTGGTATACCACCCCTCGACAGACAAACTGAAGATAAGGAAGAGACTGTTTCGAGATGGAAATATGCATATAAGCATTGAAGACGTCAATCTTGGTCATGCATAGACCCAGAGAAAAGGCCTACCAAAGATTGAGGTAGGACTCCATGGTGAAATGTAGGAGGTGAACAAAGTGATTGAGGCAGGACAGATTGATTACAGGCCTCCAGGCCCCAGTCTTTTTGGGAACAAGAAACAGACAGGAGTAATACCCTGGTGAGTGATGTGGAATAGGTTCTATAACATTTTGGGTGAAGAGGTCCTGTACCACCTCTGATAGACACTGGCAAGTTAATGGAACCCGAGGTGAACAGAAGGAAATAAGTACCTGGGACAAGGGAGGTGGAGCAAGAAACGTAATTTCGAATCCCTCTGACAAAACCTGAAGAACTCAAACATCCAAATTAAAATGGCACAAGCGATGGACGAATGTCACAAGGTGAGCTCCTACCGGGCCCGAACCCACCAGGTAGTCACTGGCTGTTGCCGGCATATCATGCATTGTTGAAAAAAACAGCAAACTGTGGCACTGAGAGAATGAGGGACAGGTACAGGATGGAAAGGGAAAGAACAAAAAACTGAAATAGATGTCACACTTGGCTTTGACTGAGATAAATGGGAAACTAGATAAGAAATGATAGATTGGGTCTGGGCAGATGCCCCCCGAGACTCCAAGGATTCCGGGTCTGTATCAAAATTTCGTTTTTCAATTCTCCTATAAGTAACCCAATAAAAAAACAGAGCATTTCTATTATTAAATACTAATTAAAATGGTTTTAAGTTACCAGAGACAGCTCCTGGATTCCTTCTGAACTGGTTTTCATCAGCTCTACTCCAAGAGACTCCAGTTCAAACTCATTTTCCATGGTCATTTTCTGGAGAACTTCCTTTCTCTCCTTTTCTATTTCCCTTTGAAACTGTACAAGATTGAATTAAGCACAGCAATCTGATGTTTATGTTTCTTTAGATAATACCATGATATCTATTTATAGCAATCTGGCTAAAACTATTTTCTATAATTTGGTTTCACATTTCTCGACAAAACACTCATTTATCTACAGTAAAAGACAAATTCTGACAACTTTTGATGCCAATAAAATCAAAAAACAAACAATAACCTGAAAAACCTTTATCCTATAAAATATATCTCTTACAATGTTCTTAAAATTATGATAATAGTAATAAACATAGCTAGTAGCTAACTGATACAGTTTATGATCAGTTATTGTAGCTATTGAATAGCTGATCACATTAGTTCGGGATGTAGAATGATAAGCTACAGCTGGAGAATGTCATGAAGATTTGTTTGAGAATATAATGAGCAACTATAGTTTCTGTGTAACTAAGTTCTCTATATATAATGTATAGCAATGGGCAAATATATGCCTAAACTAAGACAACTCCCACTAAGCGAGTATAAAATTTTACCAGTAGAAAAATAGCCTTTTCAAATAAAACATATATGTCTAAAACATTGATTTAAATTAACCTTCATGTCTTTTAAAGTAATTATTCTATAAATGTATACAATAAAATTGAAAATTATGTGTATTGATTTTATTTTTACTCTTTCACTTTATACATAGTATAGGGATTGGCTTCCTAAAGACACTGACTGTATAATGTACAAAGCATTGAGTATTTACATTTTACAGTCATCTATTATTAACTAATAATTCCTGTTTCACCCTGTACTTAAACTTCTAAAAGGAAAATCAGATATTTGTAAGAAAGTTAACTTCAAGAGATAATGATAACATCGTTTACACTAGAATTATGATGTTTTTTAGCTTATATAAGATATAGAAAAATCAAATCGACTTTTCAATACCCCATTGACCTTTGCAGCACTTTAATTTTGTATTCTACAAAAGGTTTGGGTGTAATATACCAAGCCAATTTTGTTGCAGGCTGGCATGAAAGAGAAAAAAATGTTTAATGTTTTTACTTGCTGAATACTTGTTTCAAGTTCATGTTTTACGTTGTCTATCATGTCAGCTTGAGAAACCATCTGTTGATGATAAACTTCAATTTCCTGATGAGCATCTTTTAACTTGTGCATTTTCACATCTAGCTGTTGTTGATAATGTTGAATTTCTACAAGATGCTCTTTTTCTGCAATGTCCAAAACTTCTTGTACTGCTTGTTTCTGCAAAATACCACTCAATTTTTAGTAATGTTGTACACATCTGTCTTTGACTAAAATGAGTTTAGCTTCAAATCTTTAAAAATTTATTCTCAGTCACTTTTACACAGCACATTACTGCTTGGATAACACAGTTATCCTCATTTGTGTTCGCTAAGTTATTTTAGAAAATTCATTATTTGTAACTTTATATTTTGTAGTTTTAAATATATTCTCATCAAATATTTATACAAAAAAAGGAAAAAGTCATCACATACACAAAGAGTTTACAAAATCTCTTAAAATAAAAAAATATATGTTTATAATTTTTAGCACTATTTCATAAAAAAGTCTTGACACTTAGTATTTAAATTAGTATTTATCATTACATTATTCTTTTACCTGTATTTGACCAAGCTCAACATGTACATGTTCTACTGCTTGCTGTACCTTGGAACTTAAGGAAAGAAGATTTTCTAGGACTCCTTGGCGGCTTTGAAGAACCTTATCCTGCAGGTTTGCTAGATCAGATCTTAGAGACCTCTGAACGAGTTTGGCTAAGTCTTCTAAAGCTGTGACTGTAGACTGCAACTGATAAAGTTTAAGCTTGTTGCTTTGAAGCTCCTCCTACAAAATATAAAAGTTTATTAAAGTCAGTCACACAATGAACTTTTCTATGTAATAAATTATCTTTTAAGCAAGTTTTTTATAGATTAATAGTGATTTTGTTAACTCATTTTATTAATATACTGTACTACAGGGATATATAATTACCTAGACTGCCATCTTTGAGAAGTTTAATATGATCATATGATTTGGTAACTTTACTTCACTTGCAACTTGATACTGCAGTTGAAGCATAATTAATGAAGATGAATTGTTTTAACACTCACTTTAATTCTAAAAGTTAAAAAAACTTCTCTGACTGAGGAATGCAATGACTCATGACAGATATTATTTTTTAACATACTAGTTCGGCCTATACTACTGGTAATGCATACAACATTGTAGTAGTAATATACTTCACTGTTTGTGATTGTTCACCCAGTACAAAAACATAAACTCGGTGTTTACATATATTTTCATGGTTAGTTGTTTATACCTGTACTAATGTCTATTTAGTACTACTACTGCTAATTACCAATTAGTTTATACTATATGTTTCAGCTTTCAATTTGTTCTCATCTTTTGTGAAAGCTTAAGAAGAAATGTATGTGGTGACATAAACATGTAATCAATTCTCAGTTTTATTGTTGGAAATGCAAGTTTGTTGTAGACTCATCTGAGTTCTCATTCTGCTAGGATATGACAGGGCCATGATTCAATTATTTGAATATTTTCAAAAAGGGTATCCAGGTTTTGCTGACTTCTATTCTGGGTTGACTAAGTATGTTATTAGTATTTTGGATGTAAAAGGTTTCTTTTTTCTTTTTCTTATGTGTGGTTCATAACCCATTATTTTATTCCATTTTATTATATGAACTGTTAAAACACTCAAACAACCAAGCACAGAAGCTTCAACTAAATTTGGATACTCAGTTAGGTAAGTGATGTCCCAATTAGGTAAAAGCTCGAACGAGTGAATAATGCACCTTTCTAACATAGATACCAAGAGTTAAGTCTCAGCTTCTGCCACAACCTACAATCCCTAAAAATGGCACCAGATAAACATCTGACACAAATCTAAACAAATTAGTAATTAAACTTAGGTGATCATATAAGGTATTAACACAACAGCCATACTCTGTTTTGTACACCAGGTTTCTCTTCATTTAAACCAGAAGGTTTACTCTGCTTTGAACTGATAAGTTCATGGCATGATTTTCCCTTACATAAATTGAAAAACTGTATATCATTATTAAAAGCTATATTTAACTAATTTATATTGTTTAAGTCCAATGTTTTACAGCCTTTGTTTCCAGTTGCAGAAAAACTTCTCTCAATAAAGTACTAGATGAGAAAAAAATATTTTGCCATAAAACAATTTGTATTTTGTGCTCTCAAACAAATCTTTTATTTTTTTTACTTAGTAAACATTTTCTACAAGTTTAAAAATAAATCTTTATTCACAGGGCTGGCAAGTTAGTCAATTGACCACTTATTGGTCAAAACTGGTTAAATATGGTCAAATAATCTAAAAACTTATAAATACTATAAATATCCAAGTATTAATCAAGGTGTTATGATTGATTTTTAGATCTCAAAGTCTGCTTATTGTCTTAAAGTTACATCCCAACAAACAGAAGACTTCAAAGTGACTGAGTGTTCAATCAAAACCAATGAAAAACTGTGTTTATTGTGTCATAGCATAATATTTCATATATTTTTACATATTTTTTGAATATCTTAATTCACGAGTTTAATGGGTTCCTGCTCTTCATCAACTAAAAACTTTATAGGTATGTGATATTATACTATGCTGTATTATAATATCCTTCAGGCATATTCAGCCAAGAGCTTTGAATTTGCAACTTCATTAAATAGGTATATAATTAAAAAACAACAACAGCTATTTGGCATAATGACTTGTAATATTTACTTATATAATACATAGCATCAAAGTGGCAGCACTTTATGGAATATTGCCATTTTTGTTGTTGGAAGGCTGGAGATGGATCATTTACTGTTGTTTTTCTTCCTTGTAATATACATTAAAGTAAGTAAAATTCAATATATATGTAGTTCAGATAAAAAGTAACTTAAAAATAAAGTATTTGATATTATTTAATCATTTTTTTATTTTGAGTGGTAAAGTGCCTAACCCCAGTTATCCAAAACAGCACTAAGCTAATACATGTATATCCTGATAGGACTTTAAGTTAAAACCTTATACAAGTGAAAATTCTTTGGTATAATTTTCAGAGATGGAAAAAGAAATGCATCTTCATTCAACTAAATAACATTAAAAAAACAACTATATATACACACAATATAAAAATATTGATTCACTTCACATACAAACACAATTTCACCAATTTACAGCCAACCCATGAATATTTAATTAATCAGTCATTTTCTTTCATTGTTTCTAATGTTGGTGAAATCAATTATATTATAATCATAGTGTAGCATCAGATTAAGTAATTACCTACCAATTAAACTACTGTATTCATGAAACAACACATCTTTCACAAATTTTTAATAAAAGGAACAAGTTTTAAAGAGTCTTCAATCAACATTTCTAAATCATTCCAATCAGAAATTATTTCATTTACAAGTGATTTTCTATCAACGGTGGTCTTAAATTTCAGTCTAGAAAACTTATTTTTAGGAATAATTTCAAAACATATTTAAATATTTATGCACAATAATATCTATATTAACGCTAGAATCATCTAATCAAATTATTTGTTTTTGTAATGTTTAATTGTAAAACAAATTTTTTTAAATTGTTGGAATAGATGCTGAATCTAATTATTTTTGTTTGTTAAATCTGATCAGGCAGGCACGTAATAATAACTTAGCTGTACCACACAGTGACTTACAGCATATTTAAAAAAGAATAACTGTTAAATATTTCTTTCCTTTGTTATAAAATTTCCACATATGTTTGTTTGTAATATCCTTTCTTAATATATAATATAGTCTGGAGAAGTTTATTTTTTCTTTGCCATAAACTGTCTTGCTTTTATAATTACATTGTTAAGCCTATAAAGATGGATATTCAGAACAAAAAATTATCCTCTAACTTATCTTGTTGTTAAGACCAAGTTTTCAGCAACTAATTGTTTTCTAGCCTTAGACAGCACATAAATGGAATGACTACCTACTTTATTATGACCTCCACAGACCCATTTGGAAAACATTTTATTTATTTGCTATGCATGTGAGGTGAGTGGAGATGTAGTCACAAAACAATTAGTCTGCAAGAAAATGGACATGAGCAAGAATCTCTCCAGTCTGTAAAACTAGTTACTATTTAGTAGGTTTATTCAAAATTACCTGCAATTTGGTTAAGTATTTCTACTGTACGAAGGACAAAAAAATCAAAAGATATCACTGGCATCCCTTCAGGTCAGAAAGGGTTAAAGAGGCAGTATAGCACAGCCATTACCAAAGATGATTTTTTGCATTATTTTTACATTTTTTATTTATATATATACAAGATGATTGGCAGCTTTTCTAAATTTCAGATATGTGACTGATTATGGCAATGTCAAAGCATGAGAAGGTTGAGTTAATCCTGCTGTTAATCCAAACTTGTTTTGAATTACCAAGACAGCATATGAAAAACATTCTTTAAAATTTGTTGAAGTGCCTATGATTCCAGACTTTTTTACACATTGTACTCATCTTTTTTTTTTGTAACAATTATGTGTAAAACAGTGCCACTAGAAAACCTATCTCTGATAATTACTGGTGACAATTAATGTATAAGATTATTGGACAGCCCATAAAGTGAAACAGATATTAGGTCCTATCCCAATTGATGATTTCTTCAAGATTTAACTACCTTCAACCACACAATGGGAAAGATATTACTAAAACTGTAATGGCAACTGAGAAACAATCCAAAAGCCACTTATCACAGAAACAAATAAGAAAGTACAGCTTCAGTAGTGCTTAAAGCACATAATTGAAGTATTTGATCTTATGATTTGAAGTTAATATTTTCTTGCATAGGCCAAGTGCAGTCTGCCCAGACAAAAACATCCAGGGGAGATGCCTTAGGATTCGTTGGATTATGCCAAGTGTGGTCCATTTGGGCAAGAACATCCAGTGGAAGTGCTTTGTATAAGTTTGTAAGATCAATAAGTGTGGTCCACCTTGGCAAAATATGTCCAGGGGAAGCACCTTGGACATATAATATTATGGCGAAGTGTATTCTGCCCAGGCAAAAACATCCAGGGGAAGCAACTTGGGACACCTCACATTATGTCAAGTGTGGTCCATCTGAGTAGAAAATATCCAGTGGAAGTGCCTGGCATAAAATACAGAAGTCCATCCGGGAAAAACGTAGGGGAGAAGTGCCTTGGATACATAGGACTAGGCCAGATGCGGTTTGCCTGAGCAAAAACATTTGGGGGGGGGGAGTATTATTACGTTATTGTATAATCACTAAGTATAACAACAATAGCATTCTCCTCACTGGGTAGGTACATACGAGCTGTGAAGTTTGATTTAGTTCATTGTACAGACTCCATTCAGGAGAAAACTTCCATGGTCCACCACTCTAGCAACAAGGAACGAGAAGTGGCAAGGACTCCCATGTTCAACTAGAAGAAAAGGGGGGAAAATACATGTTGGGGAGTACATATGAATGACATACTGGAGACAGTGCAATGGGTATCTGCAATCCCCTATTTTGAAAAGCAGAAAGACTCCAATTGTAAGAATTGTGGGTCAGTAGGGATGGACAAAAATCATCTGCTTTTAATCATGAATGAAGTCAGTGAATGATGGTCTTTTATTATACAGAACAGTGATAATATATATATCTACACACACACACACATACACACACACACACATATATATATATATATACATACATACATACATACACATATGCACACACCACTGGATAAGCAGCCGGTGGTCTTAAAGAAAGGCCTCACCTCAACAGTGAGTGTAATAGAAGTATACAGATTTAGTGCATACCTGACTAGGCAACATCTGCCACCAAG